CAGTACTAAGCAGCTAATAGCCACTTAATTGATGTGTTTGAGTGTAAATGAAAATATCTTAAAATTATTAGAAATTACTAGAAAATATTAATCATATTATACTGAAAGCTGCCTTTTGGTGGTATTTATGTATTTATAATCACCAAGGATTCTTATGGTCATTAAATTTCAGACTGTCAAGGACAATGAACAAAGCAAATGCTACCTACCCTCCTAGTCACTGGGAGTAAACAATAGTAACTGAAAATTTGAAAATGAGGAGAATATTTTATGATTTGAAGCTTAATTTATGTTTTCCAGGTTAATGATGGATTTCTCTATTAATAAGACTCTGACTTGTAAATTGTGCAGGACAAAGTCATGTTGTCCCCTGCCAACATGTTTTTTTTTAAATTGTGTGAATCACATTCTCTTAACCTGACTTTCCTTCTAGAGCCTATTTTCAATTAAACTGTAACATACTAACTATTACTGAGCATATGATTTTTTTACCTTGCTGTTGTATTATAATCTAATTAGCTACTTCAAAATAATTTTTAAAATTATTTTATAAGTTCTTTGCAGTATTAAAGAATACAGCTTTAAAAACAAATAAGTATGCAAAATTCCATAAATACTGATTCTTTCTCATTGTGGAAAATAACATTATCTTTTTTCTTCTTTATACCTTATATTTAAAAATAAAATTTAAATTTAAACATTAAAAGTACTAAAGGGCAGAAAGCAAATCTGATTTACTGTCTGATTAGAACTGAAGAGTACTGAGCCCATTAACTCTGATTTATATGTAGTCTTGGGTAATAGCTAAGAAAAGGCATGTCATCAGCTTCAGCTTTATGCTTGAATTTTTAGATTATTGCAATATGTATGATCATCTCGGTAGTAGCATAAATGTGCTTTATGACATATAAGTATTTTCCAATTATATCTTATAATCAGTTAGCAGAAACAGGGAAGGTAAACATGTAATCTGTGTTCAGCTGTTTCAGGACTGGTTTGGTGGAACAATCACTAAAGGTTTTGTTTTAATTCTTATGAGAAAGACATCTATATTGAAGTAGTATGCAACTGAGGCCCTCTAGTGTCACAGCAGAATATGACATTAGCTTTTAAGATTTTTTGTGTGTGTGTGTGTGTGTGTGTGTGTGAGAGAGAGAGAGAGAGAGAGAGAGAGAGAGAGAGAGAGAGAGAGAGAGAGAGAGAGAGAGAGAGAGAGAGAGAGAGAGAGACAGACAGACAGACAGACAGACAGACAAAGGACAAGAGAGTAATGCTTTAGAACCGACTCATAGCATAGAGCCAAATGAGCTCAAAAAAAATTAAGTGTTTATGTTTTATTTGTTAATCTCAAGGAAAATTTTCTTTGTTTTTAAAAGGGAAGGGCTTTGCACTCTCATATCCACATGTTTATCCATGTTATTATAGTTGGTTTTAAGTTTGAAATTTTTTCCTTTATATAGTTGATTTATTTTTTTGAAGATCTTAATGAAAACTCTGTTAATTCCAAATTGTTCTTGTTTCACACATTTGCTTAAGACTGGCTGTTGTGGCACTTTAATATGGGAGAAACTATTTGATAAAGAGAAATAGTTTATAGGTCAGTTTAAATATGCATTTTTTTAATGAATAGTAACAAGTCAGTTTAAATTTGCATTTTTTATGAATAGTAACTTTATTGTTTCTTGTTTATACACTTTGTGGAGAATATCACTTTATTGCTTTATTGTAAAGTATGGCTGATAACCAGGGATTACCAGACAATTGAGGAAAAAAATAATTTGAGAGAAAGAGAGCCAAGGGAGGAAAAAGAAAACTTACCAAGAGAAAATAAAGATCACTCACTTCTTTGCTTCCAGAATTGAAAGAGTTCTAATAACTATTCTTCAAGAAACTCAAAATAATAACATAGCCATAACCAAAGGATAGGACCAATTGAAAAGAGGCAAATAGAGAACAGAAGAGAGATCCTGTAAATTAAATAATAGAATACATAGAGCTAAAGATTATATGATCATAGGAAATAAGACAAAGTTGATATTGAGAATAGTTCAAATTTCATCTGCCCGCCAAGAGTTCCAACTAAAAGATAAAGAAAAAGAGAAAGTAATGAAAGCCATAACAAATCGACTTTTCCTTGTTAATGTTTGTGTTAATGGAACATGAGTCCTAAAAGGGCACGCCTAATGCTTACTAGCACAAATACCCACTCTGTTGGTATGTTGGGCAAAAAATATATGTCTATAGATAAAGCAAAAAACAAATTTGAAAGCCTCCAGAGAGGCATAACATAGTATCTTCAACAAAATTAGAATCAGACTGCTATTAGACTATTTGTCATTACTAAACACTCAAAGACAATGGAGAAATTCTTTCCAAGTTTAAAAGTAAGAATAAGACATTTGAAACATGCTGTACTTTAAAATGCCCTACTCATTGCCCTCTATGAAAAATGTTCTCATAGATGTATTCTAGCTAAATAAAAAAGTAATGCTAAAAGAATAACATGAGGTATAAAAAATCATGTAGCTGATGATAACCTTCATGAATAGTTATAAACTTAGATTATCCATAAATCCTGATCACTGAGACATTTTCTTTTGAAAGCTACGGGTTAAGTGTCTTAGGTTTATATTTTATTCTCTTAGTTCTACAGTGAATATTTACTAATTGTAATATAGCAATGTGCTAATCACTCTCCATCTGTCTCAGAGTAAAAGCCAAAGGCTTTTCAGTAGTCTAAGTGGCTTAAGCAGCCTAAGTGATCTGGCACCTATTACCCCTCAGGCCTCATTTCCTACCACTTTACCCTTTGCTCACTCTACTGCATGTTCAGTGGCCTCATTGTGCTCTTTTGAACTGCTGCACATTCTCCCCCTTGAGGACTTGCTTACTGCATCCTCTACCCGAATCACCCATTTCCCAGAGAGCTGCATGTCTTTTCACTTCCTTTAGATGTCTGCACAAATATTACCTTCTCAGTGAAGTCTTGTTGGATCACACTATATATATAATAGCAAACCTTCTATCCCACATTCTCTATTCTCCACTTTTTCTCCTTAGCACTTAATCGCTATATGTCATATTATGTATTTACTTGTTCATTTGTTTAGCTCTCAAGAAAGGAGTTCAGGTTTCTTTTATCTCACTTAAAAATTTGATAATGTAGAAATAATATAAGTAATAAAAATCAGAAGTTGGGAAAGGAAAATTGGAAGTTTATAGAAGTACTTTAATTATATCATTGTGCATAGTGAAGAGTTAATTATATTAAATAAAAATCTAACCACTAGAAAAATTGAAAACAGAAACTGAAAAGAGTGGTTGCCTCTGGAAAGTCAGAATAGGATGAGAGGAGAGAGGGATTTTAGTTTTTCATCTTTGCTTCTTTCTTATGATTTTTAATTTAGATGAGGAGATTAATTGCAACTTTAAAAAAATGTTCAGCCTACTTTAAAAAAAATTAATTATTTTAGCCTTTTTTTTTAACATCGGGTTCATTGAAGTATAATTTATATACTTTAAAATTTACCCTTTTTTCATATAGTTTAAACCTGCATCAGAAGCTAAGCTGGGTCGGGCCTGGTTAGTACTTGGATGGGAGACCACCTAGGAAGACCAGGTACTATAGGCATAAAAAATTAAAAAATAAAATAAAATAAATAAGGGTTTGTAATCTGACAAGGTCCTTGCAATCTGTGAGATCAACCAAGGGTTGCTTCGCCTAAAAAAAAATAAAAATAAAAAATAAACTTACAGAAGGTCAGTTGCACAAATGCAATCATGTACACATCAGATTCAAGAATAGAACAGTTCCCTCGTGCACAATTCCCTCATATTCTTTTGTAGTCAACCCATCCCCCTACCGAAGCCCATGACAATTAGTGATCGTTATTCCATTTTTTTCACTTTTAATTTATGTCTTTTATTTAGTGTGAATTTCTTTTAGTCTGGATATAAATGAGTTTTAGTTCTTAGACATTCTGATAATCATTATCTTTTAATTGGTGAGTTTATATAACTTACATTTAATATAATGGCTGATACATCTGAATTAAATCTGTTAGTTATTTTCTAGTTGCTCCATTAGTTTTTTGTTCTTTTTTTCCTTTTATTCTGCCTGCCTTTGAATTGACTATATTTTAGTAATTCCATTTTATCTCCACTATTGGCTTGTTATTTATATGTCTTTGAAAATTACCTTTAATAGTTAACTTGTGGATATTAGCTTAGTTTTTAAAAGTCTTAATTTAAAATGTCTAAAATGGATAGGAAAGAAATATATACCAAAATGTTAATATTGGTGGGTGGGGGATTGAGTATGAATGGTTCTCCTGTACTTTTCTGTATATTATTTATAACACCTTACATGAATGCTGATTTTTAAAAAAATGGAGAAAGAGGGAGAGGGAAAGCAAGGGAGAGCAGACAAGAGAGAAGCTGAGAATCCCTGTGGAAGATGGCTTAGAAGGAATAGAATAAGAGTTAAAGAGAAATGTTTGATAAATTATAAATTATAAGAATTTGCTTTGTGGATTGATGTAAAAACTAAGATCATGTCTGTGTACCATAAAATATATTGTAGCTATTTTTCAAGGAATTAGATATTTTTTTTTCTTGAGCAAGGTAGGTAGTTTTCATTGACTTAGGTCCACATATAGCCGAAACTTTCCTGATAATTGGGCAAAGCCAAATCTGCAGAAGGTCAATTGTACACCACCAAAATTAAACTCTCTTCTTGCAAAGAACAAATATACTGTTAGAATAGCCTTTAAGAACCTGTGGAATCTTTGTCAAATTAATTCTGTTGCAATCATAAAATCCAAAATGTGTACAAGTGGATATTTTAGAAAATGTATAGACTATTTTCTCTGAATAGAGGAAGAACAATAAAAAATATAACATTGAATTTTGTCACATAACCTTATTTAACTCATTAAAATAGTTTTTATATCTGATTTATAATTGACCTATTGATCTGTGATATGTTGTTTTCTTTGTAGCTCTTCAAAGGTTATGTGTATAGCATTTGAGGTGCTCCAAGGCTTGCAATATATGAACAAACATGGTATGGTACATCGAGCACTATCTCCTCATAATATCCTTTTGGACCGAAAGGTAATTGCCAAGTAACATGTTAAATATTTGTCTGCTAGTTGAGGTTGAAAACTACTGAAATTGGGCCCACTCAATTAATCAGAGGGACTATAAGATAAGAATATGTTTTAAGAATATTCATAATGAAAAGACTATAAAAGTGATATACTTTTGGTTGTTTGGAAAAGTATCTTTAAATTATATAAATCCATATATTTTTTTACAAGCATTAATATTTTTTTCTCCGAGTCATTTGCTAACATCATGTTTTGTTTTTTCTTTTACTCATTTTCTAAAAGATATGCATTGTCGTTTTGTAATCTATGCTTCCTCAGAATTTGCTTTCATCTTAAAAAAGCTTCTCTATTTGCATAGAATTTTTGTCTCACAGTACAACTGCATTGTATTTTCTTTTCTTTATTGTTCTTCCTTATTTCCTCTTCTTTATTTTTTCCTCATTTATCTTCTTTATTTACCAGCCATTCATACTTAGGCCCCCTCCCTTTTTTTGAGTGCTGCTTTTCCAGTTGGAAATCTTATGCATGATTAATAAGAAGCTAGGCAATGCTTCTAAGAGAATTGTAGGTAGCAAGGTTGTATATTTTCAAGAATAATCATAATTTTATTCTTTTTCATAGGCGTATAAAATAGTTTTGAGAGACTATTTTGTGGGGAATTATTTTCTGTTTGTAGGATTACTATTTTCCTCAGATTCTCTTCTGACATTCAGTACAGTTACACTATGGTATTAAAAATCACAAAAGAAAAAATGGTACTCATTAATTTCATATTTATGGCAGTAGAGTAACCAATCTGAATTGCTTTAAAATATAAATGTTTTATAATGCTGAGAAATAAAGTTCAGAGAAAAAGAAAACAAACCAATCTTAAAATCAACTTAATTTTTCTAGTCAGACATCTAAAAAGGGAAAAACTTAAGAGAGGTAAAATTTATACTTGCCTTTTATTAAGAACCTCACTTTTGTCACAATTATGGTTATTCTTGAACAATATCAAAACTTGTTGGAAATCTAGCAGGTTCGTTATATCTTGATTTGGGAACTGATCTTTTCAAGTTAAGAACTCTCATGTCAGGATTAAATTATAACGTTATAAATGAACTTGCAGCTCCCTGAAAAAATTATTCAGTGAATATTACCACAAATATCCTAGCAAGGATTCAATGCAAATGTGAATAGTTTTGCTTTTTTGCTTCATCAAAAAGCTTGAGAAAAATAAACAAAATTTTTTATGTTTATGTATGTACATATATATACACATGCATCTATACATACCTATATATTTGTAATAAGTATAAAGCAGACTTTAAATATTGGCAAAAAGTTTATGATAATATTATGGTAAATATATTTTAATGTATCTGACTCTGTGATGGTTTTTTTACCTATAAAATGTACAATGATAATTATTCCTGCCGGTAATATTAAAATATTTCATAGTGATTTTTTTCCTTTATTTTTGTAGGGACATGTTAAATTGGCTAAATTTGGACTTTATCACATGACAGCTCATGGTGATGATGTTGATTTCCCAATTGGGTAAGAATATGTTTTTTCGTTTGTTTTTCTGAGTTTTGTCTTAAACTTTCTAATCTTTGATAAAGTGTATATTTACCAATTAATAGTGATATTATTTTTTGATAGACAACTATGTTTTCTTTATTAACATACCTTACTTTTCCAATGCTTTTAAAAGAGTAGACAATGAATTTTTCCCAGCATCCAGAAATTCTCTGATGTTGATCTTTCATTGAATTGGCAGAGAGACTAACAGATTATTGACCTTGTTCACCTATATGGCTTACTAATTAATTATATTTCATTCAGAATTAGGTAAATGTGAGGCTAGAAGCCTGACTAGATTCTCACTTGATGATCATGAGTGTTCTTCAGAAGACAGAAAAATCCCTGTTGTATTATTTTTCTTTGTTTCAGAGTTTAACTCCCTATTCTCTAAGGTATAATTGTATATTAAGACTCAAGCTGAGTCACTGTAGATTTCAGAGGTAATGGGATAGATTCTGTACCTGAAAGCCTGTGTTTAAGTTTGAAAGATTTATTTGATCATTTCTGATATAGAAATCCAGGTTTATGTTGGCCTCCAAGAAAGGAATGAAAGTTTTTTTCATCCTATATTCAATTATATGCTTTTGACATAGGTTTTTGTGCTATATTTATCATGTGGTTGCTTTTCGAACATTTTAACATATTTCCCTTTTGCCCTGAGAATACTCGCCGGCAGCACTTGCTGCTGCAGCGCTTACCCCTAGATAACTCTCAGATTACAGTCCTGACCTTACTCCCAAAGTTTACCATGAAATATTTCACTTTTATTATTATTTTCTCATCTCTCTAGTATATTGATAGTCTTTAGAAACAAATGACATCATTTTATTTATAACATTCTGTTTTTAGTAGTGGTATTTCCACTTACAAAATGTAGTGATTCTCGATCCCTGAAAATTTCAAATCCTAGAAGATGTATCATTCTTATGTGTGATGTTAACATTGTTCTCTAACAGTTGTTAGTGGAAGATTCATTAGATGAGTCTGATTTATGTATACATTTCTCTTACATTAGTATTAGAGACAAGTTCTGTTTATAATTCCAAGAACAGTTTTTATATTTTATTTTTACATTGAAAATCAGTCAGATTTGCTTCAACCATAAAGAGCATGTTTATATAAAATTAAATTAACGCTGGTAGTGAGCTGCACTTGTTTTTTTCTAAACGAGAAATGGATTAACAATATGACACTTTTATTTTTTGAGTGTTTAATCTTGACATTATTTAAGATACATAGAAGTTACAAAATAGTACAGAATTCCTGTATACCCTTCACTCAGCTTCCTCAAATGTTAACATTTCACTACATTTGCTTTATCTCTTTCTTTTCTCTTATACGTATGTATACATGTGTGTATATAAATATAATTTTTGAATCATTTAAGAAGTCATTAGGACCTATAATGGCCTTTACCCCTAAATTCTTGTATTTCCTAAAGTAAGGAATTTTTTTTGCATAACCACAAAACAGTGATCAAAATCAAGAAATTAAAACTTATACAATAGCATTATATAATCTAGAGACCTTCTTTAATCATATTTTTCAATTGTTACGTGGTTGTTTTTTTAGTAGTATCCATTTGTGTTTTGCTGTTTGAGATGTCTAAAATAAGTTCTTTCACTCCATTCCTAAGAATTGTGGTTTGGAGTTATGGAGTGTGTTTCTACAGCAGAATATTGCTTAAAAACTTAATGAGATCTTTTTAAAAGACTTCATTTATACATTACTCTTTTATCTTTAGAAATTCGATTATAGGTTCCTTACCTAAAATTTTCTTTTGTTAAGACATAGCTAATCTTAAACTGTTTAGCCATTACTTCCTTTATTTATTAAGAAAACATTTATTGAGCACCTTCTTTTCTGGCTGCTGAATAGACAAAAATCAATAAGATAGGTTACTATTCTTAAGAAGCTCATGTTTAACAAATAATTTTTCTGTTTTAATGGCCTACTTATTTAGGTACATAAATTAATAATCTTAAAGTTTTGCATATCCAAAACTGGTGGTCATAGGCAACAAACAATTGTTTTTATAAACACTAAAACAATATTTTATAAAAAATAGCCTACACTATTTGCTTCTGTAAACTTTAGAATATGATAAAAAGTTCATAGTAAAGCTCTATCTAGTATCTTCATCGTATGGGTGATAATTGCTTTTGAAGTGGCTTTTAAGGAGCTGTAATAAATGTGATTGCTGCTGCTGCTTTCATTTTGTCTAAATCAATTTGTGTGAGCAAGAACGCCAAAGACATAAACAAGAATTACTTTAATTTTTACCTTTTACTTAAAGGTGCTTTAGGATTTTAGTGATGACTAGGAGAAAGGAAGTGATTTTTCTTAAAGCAGATCAAGCATTTTTGAAGAACTACATTTCAATTTAAAATGCTTGGATAGAATTGGTCTTATGTTGCCATTTGGTTTGGTTTACTTTGAAGTCTTAGACCTAAAGGGTCTGACCAGAAAGTATTAAAGAGCAAAATGTGAAACATTAGCCAGGAAAAATAAAGTGATCAAACAGCTAAGGCATGAAAGAAAATATTTACACTAAAAGAAGCTTGCAATTGATTCAAAAGACAAATATTAAAGAACAACAAAGTAAAATGTTAACATCTGTTTCAAAATATTGTAGAGTTAGAAAATGGACATTTGTTTTAGCTGGCCAGTAGCTTAATACCGTGTTAAAACATCAAACAGATTATGAAAGTCACTTATATTTACCTCACCAGTCATACAGCAAGGTTCTGGTAATTTTCTTTGAGTGTTAAAATGCTATGCTAAAGAAGAGATAAAAGGAGATAACTTGCATTTAAAAACAATCCTAGGGCTTCTTGTTTTAATTAATTAATTTAATCATTCATTGATTGAACAGGTAATTAGAATTTTTGAAGCAAAGGTCACCTGTATGTTAAGATCACCAGTCAGAAGTTGTAGATATAACAATTTATCCATAGTGTTACTTCACTTTTCATTATCCATACTTTCATTTTTGTGGTTAGATGTGCTAGAAACCAGGATTGAAAATGAATGATTTGTCTTCTGGTTGTATCATGGTGATGATAAAAGTATGGCATTGCATTTGTCATATTTTCCATTTTTATTAAAAGTATATGTATTCACTAGTATTTATAACAGTTTTATGAGGTAGGCATTAGTATTTCTATTTTACAGATTAAGGAACCCAAATTATATATATATATAGAACAAGCACTAGGACTGAAATTCGAACAAAGTTTTATAATATCAAGACCAGTGCTTATCCTTGTGATCCAGCTGTTATTGTGATAAATCTTGGCTGTGAGTACATCTACGTGCTAAGTTCCATGAGGCCTAGTGAATCTCTAAATGCGGGGATTGTTTTGGGGACCCTAACACAACAACCTACCAGAAAAATGGATAAAAGACTTGAACAGGCACGTCTCACAATATCAAAACTGAATGGTTAATAAACATATGAAAATATGCCTCAGTCTCTTTAATTTTCAAGGAAATACAAATTTAAACCACAACGATACATAGGTCTCACATACCAGATTGTCAATCATTAGAAATCTGTCACTATCAAGTATTGGAGAAGTAGTAAGGGATAGGAACTGTCATACACTGCTAGTGGGAATATAAATTGGTACAATCTCTTTTGAAAAAACTTTGGCATGATATCATAAAGTTAAAAGTGTATATGTCCTATGACTTAGAAGTTTCATGTTAGATTTATACCCTTGGGGAAACTTTTGCAGATGTGCTGTATGCAGTTTTCTGAGCAATACTGTTTATATTATTTAAAAAATAGCAAACAAATAACGATTGACATTAGAATGCATAATGACATATTCATAAAATGAAGTAAAAGTTGACTTACAGCTATACGCAACAATATGGATGACATTTTCAAAGCACAGAAGAATACTGTCACTAATATAAAGTTGAGAAATATGTTTGATAAAACATATTTTTTGATGTACTTTTTAGGGATGCAAATGTGGTACAACTACAATGAAATGGAAGGGAAATATAAACATAGACATTCCAACTGTCTGTTCCTTTTGGAGATACCAGGGAGACACATTTAAGGAGAAACAGAGATGGGCCTTTAGGAATAGTAAGGTGTTCTTTACTTAAGCTGTTTGGTACACAGGTGTTCATTGAAGCTTTATTCTTCATACCTTATTCATATTTAATAGTCTGTCTTTTGTATATACTCATTATTTACTAAAATAATTTAAAAAACTTATTATGTTGGTGAAGGTAAAGAGAAATAGTCACTGTCATATTACTTATGAGACTATAAATTGCTACAATGTGAAAGGGCAACTTGGCAATACATATATCAAGTTTAAAATACATATACCTTATATTTGACCCCCTTTAACCTTATCTACCTGCCCCACCCCCGGAAATTCAACTTTGAGTGGTGAACATACAATACAATATAAATATGACATATTTTTGAATTGTACACTTGAAACCTATATAAATTTATTAACCAATGTCACCCCAATAAAGTTAATAAAATAAAAAGAGAAACACATTTCTTTTGGAGAGAATAAAAAAATAAAATTTATATACCTTAATATCTAGTTATTCGTCTATCAGTTATACATTTATTTGTGATAAATGAAATATTTATAATATATTTTTTCAGCATTGTTTGTAATAGTAAAAGAATGGAACTTCCAAAATGTTGTTCATCAAATTTTGGTCAAATAAATAAAGTATATCAATATAATAAAATCATTGGCAGTTTTCAAAAAGAATGAGGCAAAGCTATACTTATTTTTATAGAATGATCTCTAAAATATATTTTTAAGTGAAAAAAGAAGGTATGGAGTAATGTGTTTAGTACGCTGCCTTGTGGGACAGTGGTGATGGGTAGTCAAGTTTATATATACATTATGCATGTATGAGTGACTGGAGTACAGAAACGGGAGAGGGTCTTTTCAATATATATATTTTATAGATTTTGACATTGCTACTACTCAGAGTAATAAATACTGTTTTCAGAGGTAAAAGGTATTATTCTTTCCTTTTTTGTATTCATAGTAATTATTTTGTTTTAATATATCATTATAGGTATCCATCATACTTGGCACCTGAGGTAATTGCACAAGGAATTTTCAAAACCTCTGATCACGTGCCAAGTGAAAAACCATTGCCTTCTGGCCCCAAAGCAGATGTATGGTCTCTTGGAATCATTTTATTTGAGCTTTGTGTGGTATGTATAAAGAAATATTAAACTAATAAAAAGAAATTATATGTTTACTAGAATAATCTTTGTGGATAGGGAAACTATTTAGTAATAATGTTTTTGCTTTGCTAGTTGACTAGATATGAGGAGAAACAGCTTAATTCTCAATTTGACTTTTTACAAAATCCTGTTTAACAATTAATTTGCTTATTATTTTGGTATTTCTAGAAATATTTACACTTTAACCAATTGTAAATGTACATTTTACTAAGTGTAAATATCATTTTGGTATCTCTGGAAATGTTTACACTTGTAGTAAGCATAAAAAATTTACATTGTACGAAATGTTAAAAATTAAACATTTTTAGAAATGTTTACACTAAAACTGCTTATATTCTTCGATATGTTCATGCTCTCTCCTTTCTGTGGTAGTCTTTCTTCTTAAATAACTTCTCCTCTCCTACTGTCTATGTTTCCTATAAGACTTACTTTGTACATTGGCTTTTTATGAGGCCTTCCCCAGATATCCTCTATATTTATTAGGGTAAAGACTAAACTGCTATTAAAAACAAGGAATTAAAAATTCAATAACTTAAAGAACATAGATGTTTTTCTCCCTTGTGTAATAGTAATAGTTCAGTGAGGGTTCGGTGGGCTTTATTCCACAATGTCATGCAGAAACCAGGCTATCAGGGATGGCTCCACCATTCTCAACAACTGGTTTCCTTTTTCAACTTTTTTTTAGCTATAAAGAAAGGAGAGGAGTGAATTGATGGTAACTGTCTTTGAGAATATGATCTAAAAGTTGTAATTATCAACTCTGTACTTTTCACTTGTGACAATTTACTCGTGTGGCCACATATAGATACAGGAGAGACTAGGAAATATAATCTTTAGCTGGACACTTAAATATTTGGAAAAAATGTTGAGAATGGATTTGGAGGGACAACTGACAATATGTCATGTCCAAGATGGCAATAATTTTGAAGGGACAACTAATGATCTGTTGATCATACTTCCAAATACCTGCCAGCCTTGGATCTTATCTTCTTTGTTCTCCTCTTCTATTATAACATTTGTCAAATTTGTCTACTTAGACTATGACATCTTTTGAGATAGAAATTTTTATTATTTAGCTTTTGTTTCTGTCTTCCCAGGGTTTTCAGAATATTTTGAAAATAATAACTCATTGATTTTTACTCTATCTACAAATTAGATAGACATTATTTTCCTCATTTTATATATTTAAGAAATAATTCAACAGCAGAGGTAGTAAAGCATAATAGTTAAGAGATAAGCTTCTGTAGTCAGAGAGAATTGAGTTTGAATTCTGATGCTGCAAAGTATAGCTATGTGACTTCGGGTAGCTAACCTAACTTCTCAAGGGTTGGGTTCCACTTCTATAAATAATAATAGTGTCTATGTTATAAAGTTGTTGGAAAAATTAATAAAATAATGTATCTAAAGTACGTAGTATAGGATGTTACATAGCAAACAGTTCATAAATGTTAGCTTTCATTATTAATATTAAAATATTCAATAACTTTTGTAGTTTACATATTGGCACTGCTTTTTCTAAGGGAAAATTCCAGATTTTCTGATTCTTCCCTATCCTTTGTCTAGACCATCTTACTTTTAATTGGTATGAAATGATAGTAAATCTCATTTTTGCTTACAATCATAGCCTAAATGAAAAGTGTATTGGAATATGAATGTGAAGTATACCTAAGTGTAAATGTGAAATATACAGCTTTTCCTTTTTATTACCATCACCTATATATCTAAACTCTTTACTGATAATCTGGATATGTCTTATATGAGTAATTCAATTCAACAAATGTTGATGAGTATTTACTGTATGTATAGCATCATGACAAATGCAACAAGGAATAAACTGTGATTAAGACACATTGTGAAAGGGCTTATAATTTAATTCAAATCCATAAACTTTGAAGATAAACTCAAAGAGCTGTGTGAATACCAAGGGAGGGAATATTAGTTCCATCATATGGGCTTCATGACATTTTAAGTGATACTCAAAGTTTAGATAGTGTAGTTTAAGGATGACAAACTAAACATAAGCTTAAATCTTCCTTTGCCTCATCAAACCCTTAGATTTGATATAAAACATTAGGATATAAATTAATAGCATACCAACAACTAACAAAGAGAACTTTGGGTACACTAGAAATTCTAAGGAAAAAGATAAGAAGCTATACCAAGACCATTTTGCTAAGAACTCTTACCATATCACCAGAAAGTCAGTACAGCCACTCTGCCACCCAGAAGTTTCCATAGTCCAAAAAATGTATAGAATTCTGTATTTTAAAAAATGAGAATATACCTAAGAAACACTAAACATCTAAAGATGACCTCTACAATAAAAAAGGAACAGCAGAAGAATCTATATCATTGAAAAGACTTTAAAAATAAATAAATGTTCTTTAAGAGATAAAAGAAACAATACTATTCATTAAATAATTATGGAAACTATGAATCAAGAATATTTAGTCAAAAAAAAAGAACCAGCTAAGAGTTTTAAGGGGGAAAAAAAAGTGTAATTATTGAAGTAAAGAAATAGATTGATCATTGGAAACTGGCCAGACTGAAAATAGAAGATGAAATTGAGTAATTCTTCCAAAATATGACACAAAGAGATAAAGAGATCAAAAATATAAAATAAATTTTAAAAGACAGGGAAGATAGATTCAGATTTTCTAATATCCGTTTATAGTAAGGAGAATAGAAAAACAATATGAACAACAAAAAATAAACTCTTAGAAGATAACCAATAATGAAATAATAGGCAAGATTTATTCAACACTTATCAAGAGGCAGGTATTTTTCTAGTCTCTTTAACATCTATTAATTCTCACACCAGTCTTATGAGGTTTACCTCATTATTTTAGTTTTTTTTTTTTTTTTTTGCAGATTAGGAAATTGAGGTATAGAAAGATTAATCAACTTGTCCTACTTACATAATAGCAAGTATTTGAGCAGATTTGTACCCATCAATCGGCATTTAAAACTGTACTCTAATCAAAACACTAAACTGCCTTTATTAAGTCTGATGTATTCATCAGTGTAGATGAGAAAATCTTAAACCTTGCCAGAAACAAAAGACATATTGCCTACAAAGAGTAGAAATTAGATTGACACTTAAAGCAGTGTGGAAGCGAGAAAACAGTGAAACATTCAATGCCATTAAAGTGCTGAGAGAAAGTAATTTTAAATTTTAAATTCTTTAACTCACAAAATTAACATTCAGGCATGAAAATGAGATATTAGATATATGGAATTTCGATAGACATGAAGAAAAAGTTACTGGTAAGGACATAACATGAGTCAGTCTATAGACCTGAATAGGCAAAGTGTGTTCACTATATTGCAAGTATTCAAATTTAACTGCATCGAGTGTATGCTGTGTTCATCACAGGGTAAATAAATAGTAAGCAGATAGACTGAGGTCAAACTAGAATGTAATAATCCTTAGATATATGAAATGTTAAATATGCAACAATTTAAAGAACAATATATCACCAATAATTTTTTCTTAGTGGAACTAACTTTTGAAATCTGATAAAACCTCTGGAGAGAAATAGAAGTACCTGATAAAATCATTTTCAGCTCTGAAAAAAAAAAAAAAAAGACCTCCCTAGAAAAGAAAAATGCATACATTAACTTGAATTATTTTCTCATTTTGTTTAGGGAAGAAAATTATTTCAGAGTTTGGATATTTCTGAAAGACTAAAATTTTTGCTTACATTGGGTAAGTGTCAACGATTTATCTTTCAACTATAAATCTAATCTTTAATGACTGTCAGTAATTATACGCACTGAAGATATATATTCATCTAAAATAGCGGTACACTGAAATATCCTCACTTTCTTCAATTTTCTCATGATTAGTTATAGATATTAACAAGACAGCTAAAGAAGTGCCTTCTGAAGTTATTACAGTAGAGCTTTCTTTATTCACTAAGGAATTATAATGTGGATGGATGTGAAGTATAAAATTAGCTTCATAATCTAGCCAAGTAAAATAATTTGTGAAATCAAAATTTGAGAATATGAAATTATACTTCTCTATAGCAGTTTACCTTTAGACAATTTATCGTAAATTTTGAGCTTTCTGTTCTGTGATTTGTGTGACTATGTCTGAGGAAAAATGTTTATTTTCTCATATAATAAGGTTATATATTTTACACATAGATCTGAATACTTGTAGTTCAAATTTATAAGAATTTGTGTTACCTACTTCAGAGTGAAATAAATTAAGCATGTGTGGTAAAAAGGACAAAAAAAAGTGATAGAGTACTTCATGTAAGAGAATGACAGATTGGTGTACAGGTTAATAGGGTTTACAAATAAAGACATGTACAGAATGTATTAATAAATATTAAATAATGAATTATAAATAAAATTACATAACATTTTACTCTTTGCTACATTTAATTATAAAGATTGATAATATAGTTACTAAAGAGTGTCAGACATTTCTAAATGTAGTCTATGGACTAAACTTACAGTTTAAATCCCTAGAGAAATATGTGTACATTCTCCAAATGATATATAATAAAATAAATTAGCCTTATAATCATCAAAAAATAATAAATTATTTAAATGAGTAATATGCGTATATTCATTAAAGAGTGAAAGAACAAGCAAGCATCTTTACCTCCTTGAATCACTGCTTTATCTCACTTATATTTGAGCTACCTTTCAGTATCTGTGATTCGATTAATATTTAGTGTTGAAGTTTTTATCAAAATATGTGAGGAAAGTTTAAAAAGTCACAAGCTTTTAAATATTCAAAGTTCTAAAACTACATTACATGATTAAAAAAAAAAAAATAGAGTTCAGTACCCAGTCTGATAAATTAGAAAAGCAGCATTAATTCATATAATTTTTTGTTTTATAGACTGTGTAGATGACACTCTAATAGTTCTGGCTGAAGAGCATGGTTGTTTGGACATTATAAAGGTTTGTCATTAATCTGTTATTGCAGATTTGTTTATTTTGAATGTTTGGGATCCAACAGCAAGCTATTTTAAAGCTACGTTTATGTCTGTTTAGACATTTGCTTTTTCAGAGTGACAAACTAATAATAATTTGGGTAAAGTCCAAATAAAGACTTTTTAAAAAATCGTTACATCCTAGATTAGCAAACATTTGAGTAAAATATATATTTAGAATGGATCATTTTAAGTAGTTCTCTTCTCTCTTTATTTTCCAGGAGCTTCCTGAAAATGTGATAGATCTTTTGAAGAAGTGCCTCACTTTCCACCCTTCCAAGAGGTTGGTATTATTAAGAGTCTGGGATTATACTGAGATCTTTAACATATAAGTAGCTGATTTTTTTTATTATTAGTTATAATACTAATGGATTAAATAACAATATTTGCATATACAATAATACATAATTGACATCAGTATCATAATTGATAGTTATAGCTTTAACATATGTTAATAAAAGATGAAAAAAAAAATTAAACCATGGTGAGAAAACTGGAATATACCAAAAAAAGTTACTACTTCCTTTCTTAGCCTCCAATTCAAAAATCAGCTCAACTGTGGGATGTAGATATTTCCAGACTCAAATGATACAAGAGAAATGAGAACAAGTTTTGGGTAATATGTATTATAGCAAAGAACTTGGATAAATGGTGAAGTAAGCTAACAATTATTGATTATATAAAAGGATTTCTTAGAAGTTTTATTTATTTATTTTATTTGATGATGTCACTGTTAGCCATACAGTTGTCTCTAAACTCCCTTAGGTATATAATATTTCAAGATAATGTATTCTAATTTGTCTTTAGACAAACATCTTTATCAAGACATGATAGGAAGAAAGGAATGATATTAAAAGCATAATTTTAGGTAAATATGCTACATTAAACTAAGAGAATAGGAAGAAAACCAAGAGATATCATGTTTACAATTTTATTATTTAAGATATTTAATAAAGCAGGTACATGGTAGTCAAGCTAAAAGTAAAAAATCAAGACGCTCATATGTAATACTTTTGATAGATCATAAGATGCAAAAAATACAACAAAGGTAAAAAATTCAGCATTTACTACTTACAGTTATATAAAGATATACTTCTAGACTCTGTCAAGAAGAGTTTTTTTATATTCTGCGCTAATGATGTATTTAAGACTTTTAACTCTCCCCTTGAATATGTGTTATTTTTCTAGGAAATTTTTAATGACTTTCATTCATGCTCTATATTTTAAATGTGTTTCTCAAGGCCAACCCCAGATGATTTAATGCAGGATAAAGTGTTCAGTGAAGTGTCACCTTTATACACTCCCTTTAAACAACCTACCAGTCTGTTTTCATCTTCTCTGAGATGTGCTGATTTAACTCTGCCTGAGGATATCAGTCAGCTGTGTAAAGGTAATGATAAATATGACATAGGCAATGATATAAAGCCTTGTTTTTAAAGAGAGTAATCTTATCCTAGTTTCAGTTTAGAATTTATCAACAATGTGTATAATACATTAGTGAAACTTTATGGATGCTTATCTTGGAATTAAAAGACAATTTTAGATGTTCTTAAAATATAACTTAGCTAACATTTTAATCCTTTAAATTTAAATTACTTTGGAGAAAGACCTTTAAGAGTCAAGGAGAAGAAATGGCACCACACACAAAAAAATAATTATTATGTTAAAGCAAAGTTCTATCAGCATTTCAAACCTTAATACTAAAATCAGGTCTTCTAATTCCCAATGGAATTTTCAGTACATCAATATTTTTTATTATATTCCATATAATTTATTATAAATGATCTTTAAAAATCATATTATTGATTGGAAGTACATACTATTGTATTCTGCATTTAAAGAGAATATCAACTTTTCTCCTTTTATTTCTCTGTGGAGATTATAACTCTCAAAATGTGTATTTTAGTGGCACCAGTATGTTACGCTTATACCAAAAAGTTACCCTGAGGTAAGTTATGGCAGAAAATAGTTACTAAACACTCATTCAATCAAATATTTATTGTGTTCCTACTATGTTCTTAACACTATATCTTCAAGTAACATTCATTCCAAATGGTGAGGTGTTTCTCACAGAGCTCAGTATATCTGATATATATATAGATATCTCTGATCTGGAAGGTAAAAATTCCACTTTTGCTCAAAGAAATTGAATGTACATTCAATATATATGTCTGCATTTCATTCTCTGTGCATTTTATACTATGAATATTAGAAAGGATATCTTACTATGTTTTCATTTTTTACTTTTTTGGAACATCAACTATAATTGTCTGTTGCCTTTTAATAAAAATAGAAAGTGAGATAGCTATGATTTTCTTTAATTTGCCATTAATAGATATAAACAGCGATTACCTGGCAGAAAGATCTATTGAAGAAGTGTATTACCTTTGGTGTTTAGCTGGAGGTGACTTGGAGAAAGAGCTTGTCAACAAGGAAATCATTCGATCCAAACCACCTATCTGTACACTTCCCAAGTAAGAAAAGAAAAATTTTGGAAATGAAAAAAATCTAAAAATAAAAACCAAAAACCTGTTTTTAAAATTTTTTGGTAGACATTCCAACTAAATGATTATGAAAGCAATTGGAAGTCGATACTTTATTTTTGTGGCTGAAGTATCTAATTGCACAGTTCCCATTAACATTTTTATTACTTTTAATAAATATTTTTTATAATTCGCTTTATCTTTTATTTGAAGTAAAATTAGCATTATGGAATATCTTATAATAATTAATGTTTAATAAATAAAAAATATACAGGTCAGAAAGAATAGTAATATTCAAAAGAGTTAATCAACTAGTGTGCCTATTAAGAGAAACCATATTCTATTTCCAATTACATTTGTAAATGTTAATGTACATTGCTTGTCTCAGAGATTATGGAGCTTAAGAAAACTCTACAGAACTGCATAAGTTCCTGGACACCATCCCATAAGTTAGATTGGAAATTAAATAACAATACAACCCTAAGGACCAGAGTTATTTCTGTTCCATTATTTTTTTTTGTTCATAAACAGGTGAACATGAATCTTGAGTTTCCGCCAATGCTTTAAAATTTTAATTTTAGATTTTCACACTAGACTTGATCATTGTAGATAACTGTAGAAATCATCTGCTGATCATTTTTTTCTTCATATGCTAAATACTTAAGTTAATTATTTTAATAGGTCGTTGATTCTCTATTTAGCTCTTAAAATAATTTTTGAATATTAACTTCAATTATACTGCTCATATATGAAATTTAGTAGAAAATTGGGAAATAAGATGATAGAAATTCCTAGAATAAATGGTTTGAAGGATAAATAAATTCTTGAAAGTAATTTTCTGAAATTCTAAACAGATTCTATGCATTTATCATTCAATATTCTTTCTCCTGTGAAGTTACTATCATTACGATAGTTTTTTTTCCCCCTCACTTTATCATTTTTTACTGATATAAACTTCTCAGGATCACATTTACAGTGTCAGGAGAGTAATTTTAGCATTGAACCTGCCTGAATAAAGAGTATAAATTCTACTGTTGTATTTCTAAAATGCTTTATATACTATATTCTTACCAATTTACCATATATTTAAAAATGAGAATTGTTTAGAGAATTTTCAGCTAGCACTTATATATTTTTTATTAACTCATTTAATCTGAAATTTCTTTCTTTAGTAAGGGATTGATGATTTAGAAAAAACATTTTCTAGAAAAAACACTATATCAGATTTTGTGTGCTTATTAAAATAATATTTTTTTAAATCTTTTTTCAGTTTTCTCTTTGAAGATGGTGAAAGCTTTGGACAAGGTCGAGATAGAAGCTCACTATTAGATGATACCACTGTAACATTGTCATTATGCCAGCTACGAAATGTAAGAATGGCATTTTGGCAAATTTGCTTCAGATTTTTTTTTTTTTAAGTTTATATTCTCTGAGTGTTCACAAAGTGGTTGTATTGTTTTATTCTTTTTACCACTATTAGAGAAGGGTTTTCATTTTTCCACATACTTAGTAATGCATGATATCATCAAATTTTTAAAAAATTATTACTGTAAAGGGTGGGGAATGGTATTTTGCTATAATACTAATTTTTAATTCCCTGATTATAGTACAGCTATGAGTCCTTTCATGTTTTTTTGACTACTTGCTTACCTTTTTTATACATGACTAGTTCATATCTTTTGACAATTTTTCTATTGAGTGATTTCTTACTCATTTGAGGACTTTTAAAACTGTAGTCCAGATATGGAGTCTTTGTTGGCTATTTGACGTACAAATATCTTCTAATCTGTGGTTTTACTTTAACTTTTTGAGTCTTTTAGTGAATAGAATTCTGAATTTTTTATCAGCTTTTTTTTATAGTTAAATGTGTTTTATGTGATATATTTTGCTTATTGTAACTTATTTAAAGTTATACCAAGATTATACATATACTTTGTATAATGTTTTTCTATATTTTTTTCTGCAAGATTATACATATATTTCGTATAATGTTTTTCTATATTTTCTTCTGCAAGATTCTGGTGTTCTCATTCATATTTAGTCCATAATCCACCTGGAATTTTTTTAGTTAGATGTGAAGTAGGTATCCAGTATCATATTTCACTCATAAGAAATAATTCCTTGTCTCAGCACTGTATACTAAATAATTTGCTCTTTACTTTTTTTGATCCATAATGTCATCTCTTTCATGTATGCATGGATATGGTTCTGGGCTTTCTATTCTGATCTTTGACCTATTTATCTAACCTTAGCCAATAAC